GGTGTTGTAGAACGGATGAACCGTACCATTGTGGAGAAAGTTCGATGCATGCTAAGAATGGCAACTTTACCTAAGCCATTCTAGGGTGAGGCAGTTAACACAGCAGTGTATTTGATCAACCGGTCGCCTTCAGTTCCTTTGAACTTTGAAATCCCAGAGAAAGCTTGGACGGGAAAGGACGTTGGATACTCTCACTTGAGAGTGTTCGGGTGCAAAGCATTTATGCACGTGCCAAAGGAACAGAGAACAAAGCTGGATGATAAAGCCATTCCATGCATTTTTGTTGGATATGGTGATGAGGAGTTTGGCTTTAGACTATGGGACCCAGAAAAGAAGAAAACTGTCAGAAGTAGAGATGTTGTGTTTCATGAACACGAGAAAATTAATGATTTGAAGGAGGAAAAAGCTATAAGAAGCTTTGGAGAGGGTGTAGAAGATCTAACATCAGCAAAAACTCCTTCAAGAAAAATTACAAATGAAGAAGAGGTGCAAGTACCAGAAGACGAGACAGAGGAGCCAACAATTGAAGAAGATGAAGCAAGTGTAGATAGAGGAAGCAATGAGCAGGGGGAGCAACCCTTGCCACAGGAGGAAAAACCTCAGTTGAGAAGGTCCACCAGAGAGCACAAACCATCTGCAAGATACTCTAGTTCTGATTATATCCTAATCACTGAAGAGGGGGAGTCGGAGAACTTCCAGGAGGTGCAGTCTCACAAAGACAAAGACTGCTGGATGAAGGCCATGCAGGAAGAAATGAACTCCTTACATAAGAACAATACTTATGAGCTTGTGGAACTTCCTAAAGGAAGAAAAACCCTGAAAAACAAGTGGGTATTCAAGCTCAAGAAAGATGGTGACAAGATAGTCAGATATAAGGCTTGATTGGTGGTAAAGGGCTTCAGTCAGAAAAAGGGGATTGATTTTGATGAAATATTTTCTCCAATGGTAAAGATGAGCTCCATTCGCATTGTGCTCAGTCTAGTAGCAAGCATGAATCTTGAGCTTAAGCAGTTAGATGTGAAAACTGCATTTCTCCATGGTGACTTGTATGAGGAAATTTATATGGATCAGCCATAAGGTTTTGAAGAAAAAGGGAAGGAGCATATGGTTTGCAAGTTGAAGAAGAGCTTGTATGGACTAAAGTAAGCTCCAAGACAATGGTACAAGAAGTTTGATTCTTTTATGATGGGTCATGGTTATAAAAGAACAAATGCAGATCCATGTGTCTACATCAGATTATTCCCTGATGGCAACTTCATTATCCTTTTGTTATATGTTGATGATATGTTAATTTTGGGACAAGATGTTGAGAAAATTTGCAAGTTAAAAGAGGAGTTATCAAAGTCCTTTGACATGAAGGACTTGGGACCAACAAAGCAAATTTTGGGTATGGCTATTACCCGTGATAGAAAGGCTGGGAAATTGTGGTTATCATAGGAGAAGTATGTTGAACGGTTGCTTGAAAGGTTCAACATGAAACATGCTAAGCCAGTTAGCACTCCTCTTGCAAATCACTTCAAGCTAAGTAAACGATCTTGTCCAACTACCAAAGAAGAAAAGGAGAAAATGTCACCTATTCCTTATTCTTCTGCAGTTGGTTCACTGATGTATGCAATGGTATGTACACGGCCAGACATTGCCCATGCTGTTGGTGTTGTGAGTAGATTCTTGTCTGATCCAGGCAAGATTCACTGGGAAGCTGTTAAGTGGATCTTCAGATATCTTAGAAGAACTACTAAGTTGTGTTTGACATTTGGGAAAACTGAACCAATTCTAAAGGGATACACAGATGCAGACATGGCAAGTGACCTTGATAATAGAAAATCTATTTCAGGGTATTTATTCACTTTTGCAGGGGGAGCTGTATCATGTCAATCAAAATTGCAGAAGTGTGTTGCCTTGTCAACAACCGAAGCTGAATACATTGCAGCTACAAAAGCTGGTAAAGAGATGCTTTGGATGAAGAGATTCCTACAAGAATTGGGATTGAAGCAGAAAGAGTATGTAGTATTTTATGACAGCCAGAATGCTATAGATTTGAGCAAGAATACTATGTACCATGCCCGAACAAAACATATAGATCTGAGATATCATTGGTTACGCTTAGTGACAGAGAACAAGCAGTTCAACTCAAAAAGATTCACACAAACGACAATGTTGCTGATATGATGACAAAAGCTCTTCCCAGGGAAAAGTTTGAATATTGCACGAAGTTGGCCGGGGTGGACTCCAAGTAAGGAGTCAAGGTTTAAGTCTCCTCCCATGGGGCTGGAGGGGGAGATTGTTGCGGAAATTTCCAGCCCATGTGAACACATGGACTTCCATGTGGTAAAATCTTCATACCCTATGGTAAAAGGCTACACCTATAGTAGCTCTTGTTGAATGTTTGCTAGTAAATTCAACTATTGCATTTAATGAGGGAAGAAAATCATGCATGGGTGGTTGGGT